CCACAATTACATAAACACATGGGAAATAGTTCTGATGGAGGCTGACTTCACATGACTGAGTGCAGAGGGGATAAACTCATTGGTGCCATCTGAGATTTTTGCAAACTGTTGTTAATTTATTTTGTTAAATTTATGCTACATATTTTGTGCCATGTCTATTAGGCCTTAACTGGAGTCTTTCAGAGGCCACTGCACTATCAGCAAGAAAGGACTCCTCCTGAATGTACCTATTCAAATTAAACGTTACAAATTAGAATTTTCTAGTCTTTTCAGGACAGTGGGTAGCTGATATTTCCTAATTAAAATGTATCATAGGTTCATAACACAGGTAATTTTTTTCCTGCTGAAATGAAATAAAAATTGGAAGTTGTCATAACGGTTTTTTGGCAGATGCACTAAGGATTGAGTGAACTAAATCCAGCAACTTCAGCAACAGCAACCATAACTGAAGCAGTCACAGCTAAGCTCAACTTCCAATTCCTCAAGAGCTCTAAGGTAGATGTTAGTTTGAAGTCTGTGAATGGCATTTGAAACCCTTGTATTTTTGCATATCTAAAGCTAAACTTTGCAAAGGAATGTTATTTTGGAGAGAAAACAAGTAAAACACCATGTGAGCTATGCGTACCAATACAAATAGGATTATTGCACTTGAAATGTCACTAAAAGACATTTTTCTGTTCAAAACAGCTGTAGAATAATGAAAGTTCTTGCTGTTTGTTGGACATACAGGTGTTCAAACCCAGATATTGGGAAACAATGCAGTGACTGACAAGCAATTATGCTTTTCTGTGACTGCAGATAACTAAAAAAGTGTTGTGACAAGATAAGGTTTCTTTTTTTTTTTTTTGTGGGAGGAGCACCTTTCATCTGTGATAACATATCAAAATCATATCAATGTTTATGTAGTATCTTAAATGCAAATTAAAGGTTGATGAGAAAAAAAATTATTTTATCAAGCTGCTCACCAAGATAGTGATATTGACAATTGCAGGCCAGATTTTTTAATCTATGTAAATACATTTACATAACTATTTAAGAACATAAAATGCAACATCTGCTTATAAGAGTCATAAATAATCAACAAAATAAAGATTAAAAAAAAAGAAAATTACATTTAAAAAAACCAAAGAAAACCAGAAAGCAATTAGTTGTACGTCTTGAGGCAAAAATGGGATGCTGCTACGGGGGTGATTTTTTTCAATCCTGTTAAGGATTTAGACAATGTTTTAACTATAAGCATGACTGCTGTCATTAATAATTTGTAGGTGTCAAGGACTTGTAGAAAGAAAAAGATTAAAGCAAAATGGATCATAAGACAATTGATGCAACTGAACATGAGAGCAAACATCCTTATTTAATGAATTTCAAGAAATAAAATATAAGGGTGATTTCAGTCTAATCGAGTTAATATTAACTTCTAAGTGCTTGTGATTAATTTAATGTGTTCTCTAAATCACTGCATATAAGACTTCTCTCCACCAGAAGGACTACTGCTAGCAACTTCCTTATTATGATTTGCTCCAATTGCAATTTAAAACCTCTTTTTATTTTCTCTTTTTGCCTAAAGCCAAACCATGTTATGCTCTGTAAATTAGAAAGCAATTACAAACAGCACTCAGCCTTAGGCAAATCCCACATACTACAGCAGTGCTTTGTGGAGACTGGCCATGAGCATATCAAGCAGGTACTGAGCAGCAGTTGAGTGCAGTCCTGGCCTTACCCAGACCCAGTCCTGCTTTGTGCAGTGATTCTCCCCACTGCTGTCAGTGCAGAGATACAGGTCCAAAAACAGAACATCATGTAAAATACGTGTTGCTAAGGAAGACACCCAGAATGGCTGAGGGCAATGATTTTCAGAGAAATTCATGGCATCCAACTCCATTAACAAATCTGAGAATTTAGGTCTGTATCTTTTAGTCAGGTCTTTTAGTCTAAACTCCAGTGAAATGTTCACTCCTACAACACTGAGGGGGAATTTAGTGTCAAAAACACATCAAGAACATGGAAACCCATACTAGTGGTCTATCCAACCCCCAGTGTACTATCACAAAGGGTGACACTGTGTGCAGAGTCCAGCGCACACCTGATGAACACGATCCCACAATTTCTGCTCCAAACAAGAACAGGATGAACACTTTTCTTCTAAAGATGTGCAGAGGAAGAGAGCAGTGATGGTGCTTACCTCCTCCATAACCTCCTCATGGTTAAGGGATTCTGCAAGGAAGAAAGCAAAAATCCTCTCATTTTTCCACAGGAATTGGGAGTAGCATAACAGGAGGGGCAGATGTACCTCCATCTAGATAAAGACAGAAAATAACAGCACAATAAAAACCCAGAAACATTGTCCACTGCAGCAGCAGCTGGCCTCAAAGGGGAAAACGATTGCCCGTTCGGGACGACCCTGCTAGCTGTGGCCAGCACCACCAGCAGCACTGGGACACTCTCCCAATCCTTGCTCCAGTCAGCTTTTGCCTTGAGGGATGAGGATCAGCGATGAGAGGGCTGCCACCCAACAGGAGGAAAGGAGACGGACTCCAGCTGCAGTGTAATCCAGATTTATTTGGTCAAGGGGAACTGACAGCTGAAGACTGCGAACCGGGGTCTGACAGTAACTTTTAAAGAGGGGAGGATACAGAGGTGGAGTCTTGTAGGAGTGTGCCCCCTAATGACAAGAGTGGCAAAACTAGCCTTTGTCCCCCAAAAAAGGAAAGAAGCCCAGAAGTTCCTCTCAACGATTAGGTGAAAAGCCACCTCATAGGACCTCAGGGACTTCACCAAAAACTTGAGGACATCTAATAGGATAGAAGCCAAAAAGTCCTGCCTGGCCCATCAGGTAGAAAATAAGATAACAAAAGAACTAAAGTGCTTTTGTAAGGTGTTTATACCAGGAGCAGACCTCTGCACCTGGCTCCAGTTTTTCTGTTTGTTATTTGGCCTTTTATGAAACCTTTTTTGTTTCTAACACTGCAGCAGAAGTCATCCTGCTTCTTTGTGCCCCCAAAGTAATAGCTAAGCTATCCTTGGGTGCATTATGTTTCTTTTTGAAAGCTTATGAGACCTGGTCCAAGAAAAACAAACTCAATACAGTCTGGTCTTCAATTAATCAGCGAGAGGGTGGGAGTGGGGAGAAGGTGATGGACACAGTGGAACAATCAATAGGGAAAAACCTGGGGAGGGGTCCTGGCCCCTGAACCAATCACTCGATGCCCTGGCTGGAAGATTCTAGAGGAAAAGGATGGGCCGCCGAGTGATGGACAGGGCACCGGGGCGGGGGGGGGGACGGGACTAAGGAACAGATACATGGGTTGCTAGGGGGAACGAGGAGGAAACACTGGACTGATGGGGCGGGGGAGGAGAGAGATAACCAGGGCAGAACCACTACAAATAAAGGGTACATGGAACAAACCAAATTACAACTTAACCGGGCTAAAGCATATAAAACGCACCACAACAGTCCACCCTAGTAAAGTAGCTTCTACAAGCAAAGTGCTAGAAAAGTGCTTTCTGTGGCAATTTCTGCTAGCTCCAGTTTCTGTATTTTCACTCCAATTAACCACAATAAATTACAGTTACACTGTAGCCAGCTTATGCAGGTACAGCCTGAAAGTGTGAACAGCAAACAGCAAGAGAGGGTCCATTGCAATCAGCTCTGTTTTCTCATAGTTTAGGACAAAATATTCTGGTCAGGGTGTTCTGAAGGCACTTAAAAACCAGAAGTGGCTCCGCTGCAGGAGAATATCCAGACCTGGTGCTCCCCCGCCTGGATGAGGGGAAGGAAAAGTCTCTGCAGCAAGCTCATCCTCCCAGGCTCCTGACATATCCAGTTCTATATCGCAGGCATATCCCAGGCATCCAAGTAATGGGGTTCTGAAGTTTAAAAACCTCAGTTACTGCATGTTTTACCCTTTAAGAAATAAAAATGCAAAAGCATAGGTTAGGACTGGATTAATTAAGTAGTCCTTCATGCAAAGCAGATTAGTCTAATATTTTGTAATTTTGAAGTAGTCTTTGCACCTATAAATATTACTCAACCTCTTACTATTGGGAATTCATAAAATTGATGTATTTTGCTTGGCCATATTCCAAAAGAAAAAAAAGGTCAGGAAAGCAACCACAAGAGAAACAAAGAATAAGGATAAGTTTAGATAAATTTGAGGAATGGAAACAGTATATAGAAGATTTTTTTATTTGTTCAATAGATGGTTTATCAGGAAAATACTGACTTCAAACACTGAGTGCTTACAACAAAATATAAAACCTCTTATAAATAATGGACTAAGAACAAAATTAACTGAAGCCCAGACTAAATTAAACATCTCACTTTTAATTCATCACTCTCTCAGAGCCGTTTTGAACTTAGTTTTGCTGACAGTGTGAAAGAAAACGTTGAAGGTATTTCTCACCCTCTGCAGTTGACACCAGGATCTCACATTTGAAAACAATTTAGAAATACAGTGAGGAGTTCCTCAGAGACAGGATCTAATCAAACTATACAGGCAGGCATGAACCTTTCTACCTGCCTACATGAGCTGTTTATGTAAGAAAACTCACTTTAGTAGGACTGTTCAAATGCAAAGACTTTCAGAACTAAAAAATGAGTCAAACTCTAGGGGAAAAGCATTCTTCGTACACTAAAGTTTCAAACAGCTCATGACGAGCCTGGTTGTCCCTGCTTTGTAAGGGTTTGAATTGAGGTAAAAATCCTCCTTTCCCCATGGTTTGAGAGATTTAAGGAAAAACACTTATTTTCTGCTATTTTGGGGGATTAAATTGAAGGGGAGAACATATTTATTTGCCATTGTATTGGTTTAAGGTGAGGTGAACACGCCCTGTTGCCTCAGTTTCAGGGGTTCCATTGAAGGAACTTCCAGCTCTCCCAACGTTTGCAGGGTTGACATCGGGCTGTGCCGCTGCATTTGAAGGCGCTTCTTCTGCCCGTGCCCCAACACCAAATGTCTCACGCGGGAGCACTCCTGGCATTCCCTAGGGAATTTCAGCGGGCGGGGGTCTCCCGGCGCGGCGCGGCCCCTGCGTGCCGGAGGAGCCGCCGGAGGAGCCGCGTTCCCGCCGGGAGCCGCGCGCCGTCCGCCGCCGGGAGCGACGCCAGCCCGGGAGCGCGCCCAGCAAGGGGCGCTGAGGAACACTTGTAGCTTCGGAGTGTGCCTGCGTAAGTCACTGAAAGGATGAGGGGAAACCCCTGACACCCCAGGCTTTTGGTCTGTGGGCTTTGTTAGTATTGCTCTTTAACCGAGCCACGGCTTTAAATAATGACATGGGCACCTTCTAGAAACAGCGTTCAATACGTTTTGCATTCTCTAATGAGAACTTCGGGCTCATGTTTTTCTATTGCTGAGCTAATTGCAGGCCCGAGCTGACAGTGTCCCGTGCATCCGATGTTCATTGATCTATTTGTGGTGCTCATTTCCTTGGTGTGCAGAGTTGGGCTTTTTTGGGCAGACAGTGCCCCTCAGACCTCAAGGCTTGTTGATCCTTGTGAAATAAATGGGCAGGAGATCTTTCTCCTTTTTAATGCCTTTATTAAGAAGAATCAGCTCAGGTGGGGAGAAATCGACGGGTCGCACCCACGCCGCCGCTGCTCCCAGGCGTGGCACGGAGGAGGAGGATGATGCAGCTTTGTCCGCTGGTCTGCAGGCAGAGCTGGGGATTCCGTCCTCACGGGAGATTAGCAGATTCCTGGCTTGTTTGTTTAACACCCCGGGGTGTCTTTTTAATCAGTATCTTTTCAGGTTAGGGTGAGAAGCAAAAGGGTCCAAGCAGGGACTACGGTACGTAGCAAGTCCAGGTACGGGACTACGCTCCCATCCTTAGACATCACTTAAGTCACTTGTTGGCTCGTGATTTTAGGGGTTTTTCTTGTAAAAACTGTAAAAATTCGGGGCACAATGCATTTCTCATCTGCGTACTGGCTCTGATGTCACTGCTGTTCTCTTTACCTTGGAGGGTCTGTCCTGGTGTCTTCTTGGCAAGCGGCCAGCATCAGGGGGACAATGGTTAATTACCAGCCATTAACGGGTAATTGAGGAGCTTTTCTTTGGCAGCGAAACCAAAGAGGTCTGACTGGTCTGACTTGTTTTTAACTCTGAAACTCAAAAAAAATACAACTTTCTATTCATAACACTTGTACACGATTTTATGAAGACACAGGCTGCGTGAGGACTTTCTTGTTGCTGCACTGGGGAAGGGCATGCGGCAGGTACCCGCAGAAGCTGGAATGCCCGAGGGAGTCAGTGGGACTTTCTCGGGGACGAATCTCGCCCCCTGCCGTCTGTAGCCTGGAAGCGCAGGACACCGCAGAGCAGGAGCTGAGAGATAGATAGAGGGGCATTTTTTAAAATGTGCTTTAAAGGAAATTTTTTTGAAGAGAAAGTGAAAAGAATTTTTTATTTAGTAAATGCAGTGTATGTAGGTAAGAGGAAAAAAAAAGAATTAATAATGTTAGGTAATAAATTTTTTGTTGTGGAGAAAAAAAATCAGTAGATGTAGAGGGTTTTTTTTGCAGGTGTGGTTTTGGTTGTTTCGGAGGTGGGGTGTGGCGTGGGTTTTTTTGGGTCATGGCAGAGGGATTTCTGGTGATAGCTTGGTTTTTTGGATTGGAGTAAAGTTGAATGGTTTTAGAAGAAGAAGTTACCATTTGGGGAAAATTTTTTGGTTTAGCTAATAAATGAGAGGTTGGTTTTAAAAAAAGCAAAACATGGTTTGTTTGGTTTTTTTTTTTTTTTGTGCTAGACAATATAGATTAGAGATAATATGGGGCAGGATGTGAATATTGTATACAAATTGTGTATTGAACTATTTTTTTTAATTTTAAAGTTATAGAATTTATGCTTGGGCATAAAGTAGACTACAGGGGATATCATATTGTAATATAATTTTAGTTTTTTTTAATTTTTATTTTATATCATCAACTTAATGGTCAAATTAATGTATTTTAATTATATATATACACATATATCTACTATACAGTTAAACATTGATAATGGTAGTGATATTTAGTAAATAGCGGCATTGATATATAGCTTCCATTCAATATTAGATTTTTTTGTGGTATATAGTATGTTGGTTTATTTTTCGTATTATTTACTATATGTAATTTGTCATTTGAGTCAAGATAATTTTTTGAATGGATTTGTTTGTAGAATTTTCAGGTAGAATTAATTTAAAATTTTTAAAATAAACTTTTGATATGTAATATTGGGATTTTGCTTTTCTTTAGTGTGCGTAGGGGTTCAGCTTGAGCAGGGTCAGTGGAGTTTTGGGTGTTAGTTAATTAGGTGGCTTTTGTTAGATGCAGTTTTTAATTTCTGAAAGATTTTTAAAATTTGTTTTAAGGTGGCTTTTAATAATTTGTTGTATTGTTTTATTTTGTCTGTAGTTGGTGTATGATAAGGGATATAGTATACTCATTTTATGTTATGGTTTTTTGTTTAGGTGTTGAAAAGGTTGATAAGGTTGTTTTGGAAAAGGGTTCTGTTGTTGGATTAAATTTTTTGGGAGGTGCATTATGTTTTTAAAGGATTTGGTTTTTAGGATTTAGGATGGTGTTATGGGCTGTAGTGCAAGGTGTAGTATAGGTTGTTCAATATTAGTGGTGGCTTTTATTATTGTGAGTATATAGTGTTCAGTGCCTTTGAGGTTGTGTGATCTGGGCACTAGCAGTGCCAGCAAAAAAACAGATCTGGGCACTGGAGCTGCTGGTACTGGTGCCTGCACTGGAAAACTGCCAGATTTTGGCTTTCTGTGCTGGAAAACAGCTGGACTTGGTCTGTGCTGGCACTGGAAAATTTCTGAATCTGGGCACTAGCAGTGGCAAAAAATACCAAATTTCAGGCTCCAGGTGTCAGTAAGGACTGGATCTGCACACCTCCCTCCCTCTCCCCCTCCCTCCCCCCAGAGGTTCCTCCAGCTGTGACCAGGCTCCTCACGAACCTTTGGACACCACTCCCAGGGATGCACAGCCTGGATTTGTCAGTGTCTGTGCAGGGCCAGGTCCTGGACTCGATGATTCTGCTGGGTTTCCCTTCCAGCTCAGCCCCTTCTGCAATTCTTACCCTGTCACTCAGGTGCTGTATCCCTATGAGGCTCTGGCAGCCCCAGTGTCCCTCTCTCTGTGACACAACAGTGGTGGGAGTAGAGAATATGTAGTGCTCAGTAAATAAGTGCATCTTTCAGCAGAAACACTTCACTGGAGCCCTACGTTTCAGGAGGAGTGTTCCTTGCAAGAAGTAGACAATTCACCTCCAGGAGAATGAAAGAGAGACAGATTCCAAAGACGAGGAATAAATAGGAGAGGACCGGGATGGTATGCACAGAGTACTTGTTGCAAGAGAAGCATGTGTGCCACTGCCCTGCTTGCCATATTTACATTATCAGTTGGTAGGACAGAGTTCAATGAGAGCTACTTTTGCTGCTACCTATTGCTCTTTCAGCCCTTTGTGGAAAAAATTTTTCCATTTAGGCCATGAGATCCAGCGAACGCCTTGGTGGATTCAGCTGAAAACGGATACAGAGAGTGCATTTATGTGGCGTATATGCATCGAGGGGAAGGTGCAGCTGTGCATTGGCTTTTACTTCTAGAGCCTTAATCTATAGGCACAGCTACTAGAAGTTTGCAACGAAGAAGTGAGAATGAAAAAAGTGAAAACAGGTCTAGCTGGAAAAGAAAATACAGAGCCACAGTGCTTTGTGCTCAACTTAAATGCTCAACTAAGAGAAGGGGATACATTAAGAACATCATCTGTCCTAGCACTTCTGTGGAATCTCCTAACACTTCTGTGGAATCTCTAGCTGCCTGGACTCAGCCCACTAGAACTGTGTGAAAGTAATTGAGCTGCAGATACTGTGTTTCACTGGGAAGTGGGTAGGGCAACAAATACTTTCTGTCCTGGCATTATCTCAGTCTGCACTCCAGCTGGAAATGCTTCATTGTAATTATGAAGTCTGCCACTTTGAGAAAATGTGTTGATGCTATATATTATAGTTGGGAAGGAAAGGGCAAATCACTAGTGTGTTTTGTGTAGTTTACGGACTGCAACGGGACTATGAAAGCCAGCACTGGCTTTTTTGTTTTAGGACTTTTTCTTTGCAAGCAGCTGCTGGACTTTTGAAAGGGTTTGAGATCTGTGAGACTGAGAGGGTAGGATGGAACATAGAACTTTAGAGAAGTGCATATCTCTAGGGAGGTGCCTGTAGTTCAGTGTATGTAAGTTACATGTTGAGGAGCTGATCACACAGAATATGTTCTAAAACGAAGAGGCGGTGTTGCAATTGCATTATTTTTGCAGCTTACGAACTGTTCAGCCAACAATTCCTCTTCCTTCCCCGCTACATGCAGGAGCCCATTCTGTCAGTCCCTAATAGCCGGGAAGCACGGCAGAGCTCCTCCCCACAGGAATGGGGCCGAGCCAGGAGAGTGCGTGTCTTTTTCGTGGGCACTGTCAGAGCTCATCAATACAACCACACGATGGCGCGGTCGGCTGGCAAAAGAAGGAAATGAACCGCCACAGGTCGAAACCCAGGAGCACAGAGCCAAGTTGGGAAGGTCCTTGCACAAAAAGATTTCCCTGATCTTCCCCTTCTGGCTGTTCTTTAGACCATAGTCAAAGGGAAACATGAGCTCCTTTGCCTTAGCAAAGTTTTTCACTCTCTCAGAGTCTGCTAACAAACTTGAAAAAAATAGAGTACAAAAAAGTGCCAGCTGAGAAAGATCTTGCTGCCTACAATTTCAACTGCATCCATCAAACTGTGAGCACACACTCTGCTTGGGGCCCTTTCCTTCTCAGCTCTAGGTACTGTCCTAAGCCTTCAGTTTCACCAAATGAGGATCCAAAAAGATTGCTCACACATTAAAGCTTCATTCTTTGCCTTATGTGATCCAGACAGGACAGAAGCACAGCCATGTCTGTGCGGATCTTTAGTCCTGAGAAGCTGAACTGTGTGTTGTGGTACGTTGAGCAGAGGAGCACTGTGCACAGAGCGTGGTGATCTGGTAGCGCTTTACAGATTGCACAGTAAAGGACTGACGATTGAATGTGGTGCCAATAGAAGTTCCCACAAATTTTAGGGAAAGCTACAGGCAAGCTTCAGCAGAAGCATTAAGTAGGAGCACTTCATTGCTGGCACAATGTTCTGTGCTAAAAGTGGATGACA